CCCCCGTCGCGCGCACACGCACTCAGGACGGACACGCGACCCCCAGCCCCGCACGATCACCCGGGCCGACCTGGTCCCAGGGCGGGCGGGCCCCATGCACCCCCTGCCCGCGCCCGACTCGCCCCCTCCTACGGCAGTCCCGGACAGCCCCACGGCCGCGCGCGCGTCCAAGGCTCACCGGCCGGTAGCCGGCAGGGCTGTGAGCAGACAAAATAAACACCCCCTCCCTCGCTTCCTCCTCCCACGGCTGAGCCCTCCGGCATGACCAGTTTTATGAATCAAACCCCTTTGAGGGGACAGCCAAGCCATAGACTTGGTTACTTTTAGCTCCTGGAGTGGGACAGTCTAGTTCTGGGCCTGGAGCCCTCCGTGCGCCTGTACAGATCTGTGTAGATTGGCCGCCTGGTGGTACTGAGGGCCCTTGTCACTTAGGACAGAGCCAGGGGGCCAACAGGCATGCAGCCTTGGGGAGGCGTGGGGGTGGCTAGGAGGTATCTGATGCCCCGTGGGGGGCAGGGGACAGACCTTGGCAGGCTGCGGCCCTTCATTTTCCAGATATTAGGGTGCCCCATCTCTGCCTCTGCCAGGGACAGGGCTTTGCTTGGGCTATGAACCCAGTGGCCTGGAGCCAGCTTAGTCCTTTGTGTCCCTGGGCTGGCAGCTCTGGGGCCTGAGGGCTGCTGAGGTCCCCTGTGGTCACTGGCAGGCCAGGCGATTGGTGCCAACCATTCTGCATTGCCCCCATTCGTTAAAGATTACCACAGCAGGGTCACCGACTGCCTCTCCTGCTGGGGCCCAGGGGTGGAGTCTGCAAGGTGGGAAGGAGGAAAAGGCCCCTAGGGTCCCACTGTCCCCCTGCTTGCCTTTTGCACCAAGGGCAGGTGAGGTTCTGGAAGAGACACCAGGACCCAGAGCCCTCCTCTGCAGGGCAAGAGCTTATGGGGCTGGGACACTACTAAATTTCAAAGGTTCCTTCCCGCTAGGGTGGACTTTGGGTGTTGGGGGCACAGAAGGGTAGCTGGGTGGGTGCCCTCCAAGTGGGGTCCACTTGAGCTGGTCCAGAGGGCAGTGAAGTCCAGTATGGGCCCAGCTGTTGGCAAGGCCCAACAGGATAAGGGAGGCGTTTGGGGGGATGGGAGAGCAGTCCCCTGAGTTGGCTGTCTTCTCCCAGGGGAATCAGCCCCCGGAGCTTCTGTAAACAGAGTGTCAGAGGCAGGAAGAGGGCTCTGGTAATGAGCAGCCCAGCTGGATTCCCTCCAGACCATTATCTGGCCTAGGGAGGGAGGATGAGCACACACGTGCCAGACGGGGGGCCCCCGGGCACTGGCTGTCCCCACCTCCCCCAGCTGCAGACTGAAACAGCTACTCTGGGACCTGTGGGTCCAGAAGGCCAGATGTGGCTGGTGGGGGACTGGTGTCCCAGGGCACTTTCTCCAGACTCTGGAAAGGGGGTGGGGGGGCTGAACACGAGAAGCCCCTCAGACATTGACCAGACATGTGCTCTCCCTAGGAAGCCTCCTATGGCAGGCAGGGAAATGCCCTGGGCAGGAGATGGGTCCAGAGTTTCTGGCTCCCATTCCTGACACCCCTACTACTGCCCTGAGGGAGCTGGAGCAAGACCCATGGGGTTTTATAAGTGGACCCCACCCCTGAGCTGGGCAGCTCCTGGGAAAAGGAAAGTGGGATCTCAGCTGGTTCCAGGAGGCAGCTCCCACCTCAGAAAGCCAGCCAGCCAGCCGGTCCCCCTTGGTGACCAGAGAGAAGACTGGGTGAGCTCGTCCCACAGAAGCATCCCTGACCATCTACAGGCCCTGAGCTCTTGGGAAGGGCAGCAGTGCTACCTCATGGGGTTAGTGACCCCTCCTGTAGCCCCCCTCAGCTCCCCTTAGAGTCCCTCCCTGAGCCAGGGAGCCCAAGGCTCGGCGCTGCCAAGAAAACCAGCTCCCCTCACTGCTGTGGAATTTGCAAGAGTTCTTGGAGAAGGGGGAGGGAGTGAGTGTGTGTGTGTGTGTGTGTCAGAGCGCGGCCCAGTGGGCGTGTGTCTGGCGTGGGCATGTGTCTGTGCGCGCGTGACTGGAACAGGGTTGTGTTTGGGGGCGGGCAGGGGTGCTGCAAGAGTCTGAGTGCACCGCAGGCGGACAGAGGCTCAGCCTTCTTCCTTTTATCGGTTTCCACATTCCAGAGGCAGCCGGATTGCTTTCCCTCAGCTGGCTGGGCCGCCTGGCTGGCCAGGCCCTCGGGCCTCCCCCACTTTTCCTCATTCCAGCCTCCCTGGGTATGAGGAGGCTGAAGCAGGCTCCCTTGAGCCACCTTGGTTTTGGGGGGTAGAGGCAGGCAAGGGGCCAGTTCTCCAGGTTGGGGACAGTCCCCCCAACCAGTCTCCTCCAGGGGAATGCAATAAGGCTCTGACATTCCTCTGCGGCTGCCTGAGAGATTTAATTAAAGAGGGAGGAGAGAGCTGGCTTGCACTGAGAAGGGGCTGGGGCTGAGGCGGTACTGGGGCCCCTACTGGCCCTGGGCCTCGATGGGCAGCAGTAAGAACTGAGAGACCTGGGCGGGGGAGCTGGGTTGTGGCTCCCCTGATCAGTTCGCAGACCCCAGGCAGGGCCAATTCTGCCACAGCGGAACCCAGAACCCCAGGCATGGCAATAGTGAGAAGGGCAAAGACCCCTTTGAGGTCATTTCCTTCTCAGTCCCTGCCCAGGACCCAGACAACCTGGGCCCAGCTGGCTTGGGCTGGTGGCCTCCCTTGGTGACTAAGGTCTTCCTCTGGCAAATCCAGGGTTAATGGCAGGGTTAGGGCCTTACTTGATAGATGCTTGGCCCTGGGTGGGGACAGGACAGCCAGGAGGCCCTGCGTCTGACTGAGCCCAGCCCCTGTGGCATCACACCCGCGCGTGCCGATGGTGGCATCTGGACTGGCCCATTTCTAGTTGGGCCACAGCCACCAAATAGCTCCCGGGGCAGCAGGTGTCCTCTCCCAACAGAGTGGCACCTCTCCTGACTGAGATGACATATCCCGCCGCCCTGAGGGCCCACTTGAGCAGAATGGCTTTAGTCACTGGTCTCCCAGGCCTGGGCTGACAGGTCTGGTGGCTGCCAAGTCACCCACGGTGTCACAGAAGACACCCATTTGGGGCTAGGCAGCTCCTGCCTGGGAGGAGGGGGGCCCAGCTCCTGCTGTTTTGGCGCTGCCAGCCAGCCATACCTGCTGGTGATCCAGACCCCTCCCTGGACAGGGAGACAAGGCTGACATCCAGACTGTCCCCCTTTGCAATCTTCTGCCCCAGGGTCTGAGCCCTGTAAGGGAGACTCACTGAAGGAGCTTCTCCAAAGTACAGCTCTGCTTGGGCCTTATCCCAGAAATTCTTATTTCATTGGCAAGGAGTGGAGAGGGCATCAGGAACTTCCCAAAGCTTCCCAGGAGATTCTGATGTACAGCTGGGGTTGAGAAACCCCTGGGGTTGTAGGTGGGAGACACAAACGCAGAAAGGGAACTGGATGAGGTCATAAAGCTGTGTCTTGGGCCTCATGTGTAGAATGAGGAGAGCAGGCTGGAGCGGTAAAGAGAGTAAGGCAGACGAGCCGAGACCAAAGTAGGGACTCCAGGCTTCATCACAGGGTCAGACTGCGGTCCCCACCCTCACCTTGTCCCCTTCCCCTGAGGACCTAGAACAGAGACCCCGACCTCTCTGCTCTGCTGTGCCCCAGGGATGGCGAGATGGGTGGACCCAGCCTCGGCTCTGAGCCTCCTCAGACACGTCAGCGAAACCGGAGCCAGCCATCCTGGCCGCCGGCATGGTCCCCGCCTGCCTGGGGGGGTTGGCAGACTCCTGGGCTGGGCCACTGCCAGGCCTGGCCGGCAGTGTTTAGCCAGGGTGGGGGTGGGGGGGCCAGCACTGGGAGCCAGAGGCCCAGAGCCTCAGGGTCAGACCTGCAGCACCTGACCCCTGCACCCACTCTGCAGTGTCTGGCACAGGAAGGGACTGTGCTGGCCTCATCTGTCTGTCTGTCTGTCTGACCCTATGCCCCCACCACCCAGGCGTGTGGCCTTCCCCAGCAGCAGTGAGATGTGCAGCCTGAGCTCTGATGCGGTCCCCCAAATGCCTGGGTCCCACCCACTCACTAGTACCTGCCTGACCCAGGGCCTGTGTGTGAGTGGGTGCCTCCAGATGTCCCCCACACTCAGAGGTGTGTGGGGGCACCAGGGTCCCCGTCAGAGCTGAATAGGATGTCCTTACTCATAGAGCCCCTCCCTCTGCTCCCTTCCCCCACTCCCGGGTCATATGCTGAGGGGGGCTGGCCAAAGGACAGCTCACTCCCCCACCCCCTTCCAGAACTAAATACACCCCTCATCAGGCTGCTCTCTCCAGCTCCTCTCCCACACTGAAGGGTGGAGGATGGAGGGCAGCCTCCCCATGGAGGCCTCACTCTGGGCGTAGGGGGGCCTCCTGTCTGTGCTGAAAGTGGCATGAAGCCCCTCCCACACCATGGCATCCTCACCCCATATGTGCAGAAGGCAGGGCTCAGGTTTTATGGGTAACACCTTCAGTAGCTAATGTTTACTGACCACTTAGCATGTGCTCCAAGTACAAACTAAACAGCCCTGACGATCAGGCACTATAACTAGGAACGCCCCCTCTCCCCTGCCCTTCATAGACGGGAACCGAGGTGAAGGACCATGGCTAGACTGTCATGCAACCACACAGGCAGTGGGACCTTAAAAAGCCCCATCCCAGCAACTGTCCCCTGGAGGGCAGCACAGCCAGCAGCAAGAGCCTAAGCCTCAGTTTCCTGCCTCTTCCCACCACACCATGGTGGGCCAGGCCAAGGTGAGGAGGCTGCAGAGTCCAGGGGGAAGAGCGCGGACCTGGACCCTTTGCCCTTCTACTTCCACTACCCCCCAAGCCCCAGGGCTGCCTCCAGGAGGTTCTCCACACCCTTTGCAGAGGGAAAGGTCCCACCTCCCTGCCTCGGGTCAGCAGATCAGATATCAAAGCCCAGGCCCCTGGTCCTTCAGGGCTGCTGGAATTGCAATGGCCAGGACAGCCATGACCTCCCCCTGAGACACCCCACTCCCAGTGCGCACGCGCACACACACCTCCCAGAACGAGCCCAGACAAGCGGAATCACTCCCAGAACTTGTTAAAACAACTCCCCCACTTAAAAACAAACAGAACAACACAACACTACAACCCTGGGTGCTCAGAACAACTCCAGAGAGTGAGGCAGGGCTGGTGAGAAACTGAGGCCCAGAATTGGAAAGGGACTTGGGAAGCTATTTAGGGGCTGAACTTGGGCCTGAACTCAGGCCTCTGTCTCCTGTTGCCCTCCTGCCCACCCCCTCCACAGCCGGCCTTCACCTTCTGGGTCCCTTCTGGGGGCTATGTGATCTGCTCTTGGTGCCAGGAGAGCCCATGGCAGAGCCCCTGGAGCAGCAGCCCATGCCAAAGCCCCAGTGCCGACCCCCTGCTCGGGCCCAGGTGCTCACCCCAGCATCCTAGCAGGTGGGCAGCAGGTTAGCTGCTGCCTGCTGGGGTCTCCCCGGCCCAGGATGCCAGTTGCCCTTGTTCTGACCCAGCCCCTGCTCCCCACCTACTCAGCCAGATTGCCATCCTGTGGCTGGACAGACCTACGGCTCCCTCATGATGACTTTATGGATTAAAGGGCCAACAGACTCTGGGCAAAGCCCAGAGCCCACCCTGATGCCCCTCCTTGGCGCAGAGTGGGGAACACCCCCCAGCACGCAACCTAGGCCCCCAGGGGCCACGCCCGGGCTGTTCAGTTCTAAATGCTCCCAGTCCTAGGCTGTGTCAACTCTGAAATGCTTGGGGAGACACTGAAGAAAGCAAGGCCTCAGAACTGGGATGCCCCTGGCCCAGGCTGCCTGACTGGAGCATGAGCTCTTAACCATGACCTTATACATAGCCCAGGGGGAGCTGAAGCCGTAGGGGTGGCCACGTGTAGGGTCCCCTCCCACCCTGGAGCCTGGCTGCTCCCTTCCTGACCCTGCCTGCCCCGCTGGGAGAGCTGATTCAGGGGGAGGCGGCTCACCCCACACGTGGACGTGGGGGGCGGGGGGTGCTCACAGCCCACATCTGGAGGCCAGGCCACACCCGCTGCCTTCTGAGTCAGTGAGGGTGGAGCGGGTCCACTTCGGGGAGGAGGCTGGGTGTGGTGCACGCAGCCCCCTTGGGATGGTGCCGGCAGGGCCAGAGGGGCACAAGGCCTTCCAGGTCCTGGTCCTAGCATCTTCTGAGGTTGGGTACAAGGCCCTGCCCCACCGTTTACTCAGCAAAGGTGAGCTAAGCATGCTCTGGGACACAAGGAAGCGGACAGGAGAGAGAGCAGGGGAAGGGGCACCAGCTGGGGGTCAGGGAAGGCCTCCCTGGCTGGCCTCTGGAAGGTGGTCATCAGTGCAAACGAGCAAGGGGCAGAGGCTGACAGTCCCACTTCCGGGGCAGAGGGGACCCTGCAGGCGGGTAGGGCCTGTGCAGGCCCAACCTGGTAACAGGCCTTTACCCAGAACTGGTCTCCCCAGTGACTTGTCTTGTCTATCCTGGGACCACCTGCCCCTCCTCTTCCTCACATTGCGGGAGCCTGTGTTCCTGGAGGAGGAGCCTGATGGATGGCAGCGGGGCAGAACACGGGCTCGGCTGAGGGGGCCATGTTACCTGCCATAGCCTGACGGTTGGCAGGCGTGGGGGAAGGGGAGGCTGAGCCCCAGGACAAAAGGCCCTTGTGTGAGCAGAAGGCGCCTGGAGGGGAGGGGTGCCGGTCTCTTGGGGACTCTCGGCGCTCAGAGAGTGAGGACTGCTGCTAGGGTGGCCCCTGGGCTCCCCCAGGAGCCTGAAAGGGGGCCTCATACTGTGGCCCCATTCAGTCTAGAGCAGTTCCAGCTACAAGCTGGAGCCCAGAGCAGCTGAGGGAGCCACCCCCTCATCAGCAGGGCAGGACCATCCCAAGCTGCAGGCCCAGCTGCACCTGGACATGGTTAAGGACCTAGGCTCCGGCTCAGATTTCCTGGCAGTGGGACGGCAGCAAGTCACTACACCTCCTGGAGCCCCCCCCTTCTGTCATCTGGGAGCAATGAGGATAGTTTCCACCTGCCATGGCTGCTAGGGGCACCACATGAGGGGACTGTAAATGCTTGGTGAGCTAGCATGGGGTGAAGAGCTGCTGCCCCTTATCCTCAGTGCTCAGGCCAGAGTGGACCCCAAGAAATGGCAAATGAACCAGTCTGCAGAATGTTTCTAGGGCCAGCACTGCTTTTGGGACCACCCCGCAGCCAGTGTCCCCCCGTGCCCCCTGGATGAGCCCAGGGAGGCCAGGACCCCCCACCTCTGGATCTGTCATCACACCTCAGAGATGGGGGATCTGAAGCCCAGGGTTCCCTGCCTCCCTGTCTGCCCCCCCACACAGGGGAACACCTGCCAACAGCTCAAGCCCCCCTCTGCCCCCTCCCCTAGGAACATTCCCCCTGGCCACATCCTGGAGGGCCCTCAGCTCCCATACTGGGCAGGTCTGACTTCACAAGTGGAAAAACACCGATCCCATAGTTTCCATGTGAAGTCTTCCTGCTGCGGTCTCCTCCTCACTTGGAGGACACAGAGCGTGGCGGCAGGGGCCAGCGGCACGGGGCAGCCAGCTTCTCTGCTTACGCGCTGGCTGCCCGCCCCTTCTCTCCCAGACGCCGTGGGGAGGGGCTGCTGCTCTTGGACCCACGGGCTCCCCCCCTTGTCTGTCCACCTCAGCAGAGATTTGTGGGGGGGAGGGGACTTGAAGGGAGAGCATGGAGCCTGATGCTTTTTGACCATGTGTTCTCTCTGAGCCGCAGAGGTGAGAGGGCTGGGGTTAAGGAGAGGCGAGTTTTTGTGGCCACTGTCTGGGGGCCAGCCTCTCTGCACGCATCAGCCCACCGAGCCCTGGTGACAGCGCAGGAAGTAGCAAGTGATGGCATAACGAAGTCACGGGAGGGCTCAAAGTCACTTAGGGAGCTGATGGGGCTGGGACAGGAATGGGGCCGGGGCACTGGGGACCTGACCATAACTGCTGTGCGCTGTTGGATTTGGGGGCAGGGAATGCCCTTCCTGGTCCCTCCCTGGCGTGGCTGTCACCCGGGCCCCTGGCTCACGGTCTCCTGTCTCTCTCTCTCCCCTGCTCCCAGGAACCAGAAGATGTGCTCCAGAGTCCCCCCCCACCTGCTGCTGCCGCTGCTGCTGCCGCTGCTGGCCCCGGAGCCCGGGGTGTGGGGCTGCCCAACCGGCTGCCAGTGCCACCAGCCACAGACGGTCTTCTGCACCGCCCGCCAGGGAGCCACCGTGCCCCGCGACGTGCCACCCGACACAGCGGGCCTCTACATCTTCGAGAACGGCATCACCACACTCGACGCAGCCAGCTTTGCCAGCCTGCCGGGGCTGCAGCTCCTAGACCTGTCGCAGAACCAGATCGCCAGCCTGCCCGCTGGGGTCTTCCAGCCACTCGCCAACCTCAGCAACCTGGACCTGACGGCCAACAGGCTTCGCGAGATCACCAACGAGACCTTCCGCGGCCTGCGGCGCCTGGAGCGCCTCTACCTGGGCAAGAACCGCATCCGCTACATCCAGCCCGGAGCCTTTGACACGCTCGATGGCCTCCTGGAGCTCAAGCTGCAGGACAATGAACTGCGGGCACTGCCCCCGCTGCGCCTGCCGCGCCTACTGCTGCTTGACCTCAGCCACAACAGCCTCCCGGCCCTGGAGCCTGGCACCCTGGACACTGCCAACGTGGAGGCACTGCGGCTGGCTGGCCTGGGGCTGCGGCGCCTGGACGAGGGGCTCTTCAGCCGCCTGCGCAACCTCCACGACCTGGATGTGTCTGACAACCAGCTGGAGCGCGTGCCGCCCGCCATCCAGGGCCTGCGGGGCCTGACGCGCCTGCGGCTGGCGGGCAACACCCGCATGGCCCAGCTGCAGCCCGAGGGCCTGGCCGGCCTGGTGGCCCTGCAGGAGCTGGACCTGAGCAACCTGAGCCTGCAGGCGCTCCCGCACGAGCTGTCGGGCCTCTTCCCCCGCCTGCGGCTCCTGGTGGCCGCCCGCAACCCCTTCAACTGCGTCTGCCCCCTAAGCTGGTTTGGGCCTTGGGTACGGGAGAGCCATGTGGCGCTGGCCAGCCCGGAAGAGACACGCTGCCACTTCCCGCCCAAGAATGCTGGCCGACTGCTCCTAGACCTCGAATATGCTGACTTTGGCTGCCCTGCCACCACCACCACGGCCACGGTGCCCACCACGAAGCCCGTGGTATGGGGGCCCACGTTCTCCCCTTCCAGTCCAGCTCCCACCTGGCTCAACCCCACAGAGCCGGCCACCGAGGCCCCCAGCCTGCCCCCTGCGGCCCTGCCCACGGTGGGGCCTCCCCCCCGGCCCCAGGACTGCCCAGCGTCCGTTTGCCTCAATGGGGGCACCTGCCACCTGGGGGTGCAGGGCCACCTGGAGTGCCTGTGCCCTGAGCTCT